AGCCTCTCTGCTAGTGGGTGGGGTTGTGTTCCTGTCTTGCTATATGGTTCGCATAGGTTGTCCAGCAGTGTAGCTTGCTGGTCGTTGAGTGAAGCTGGGGGCTGGTGTTGAGATGGAGATCTCTGGGAGATTTTCGCCATTTGATATTATGTGGGGCTGGGAGGTCTCTTCTTGACGAGTGTTCTGAAGTTGGCTCTCCCACCTCAGAGGCAGAGTCCTGATTCCTGGCTGGAGCAGCAAGAGCCTTTCATCCACTCAGCTCAGAATAAAAGGGAGAGAAAGTAGAGAGAATTAGTAAAAGTAGGAGGAAATAGGAAAGAAAGAAAGAAAGCAAGAAAGAAAGGAGGGAAGGAAGGAACGAGGGAGGGAAGAAAGAAAGAAAGAAGAAAAGAAAGGAAGACCTGGAGGGGTGGGATAGGGAGGGTGGGAGGGAGGGAGGAGGGAAGGGAAGAGATATGGGAACATATGTATATGTATAACTGATTCACTCTGTTATAAAGCAGAAACTAACACACCACTGTAAATATACCCCAAAGAAACTAACACACCACTGTAAAGCAATTATACCCCAATAAAGATGTTAAAAAATAAAAAAAAAAGAGGCACAGTGATTTTAAAAGAAAATAAGGTGAAATAACTTAAATTATGAAGTAACTTCTTACCATTGATGTCACCACCAAGGCTGGAGAAAACCCCATTGTGAGATAGAAAAAGAGCTCAACCACCTTATACCTGCAGAATAGAAATGTGTTAATTTAATTTAATTTAATTTAATATATCTATTCCTACAACACTCAGACTATTTCCTTACCAGTTTTTCCCTTTTTCTTTTGAAAAACAAATGTAAACTCTTGACTATTCAAATGAAATGTATTTTCCCTGTAGGAGACCATTAGGGCTCTAACTGAAATACTGTAGTTGAGTAACAATGAAATAGCATTTCTTTCAGGATTGATAAGGCATCAAATTCCACATACTACATGCAAAACGTTCTCTGCCAAAAGCTATCACTGAATCCAATTCACATGCATTTTCCAGTTCTAATCCCAGAGTGTTTGCCTTCATCGCCATTCCAATCCATCGTTATAAGACACTGAAATTATGAAGCTGCACAGGGAATAGCTTGGAGCAGTTTATCAGTGGCAAAGGGATGGGAGCCCTAAGGAACTAAGGGCATGTGTTTTTTGTTGTTATTGGTTTTGTTTTTTTACTTTTTTTTTTGGTATTTTTTTATTTTTTGAGGGCATATGTTTTTGATTGTCTCTTAATTTTGTATCTGTACAAACTCCAGTTTGTAAGGCTCATCACCTTAGGTGCAGAAGTCTGAAAATGCTAAAAAACACACTGTACTGAAATTCAACTTATATTTATGCCTAATCAAACTAGACTCTAAGTTCCTCGAAGGCAGGGACCAAGTTCTGTTTATGTTTGGGTCTGCAGGGCCTAGAACAGTACGTGGCACCATTTAGGTTCTCTGTAATACCTGCCAAACCAAATGGCCAAGGGTGACTCGCATCTCATTCTTAGTGTTTTATACTCAAAGTCCACCATCAAATAATCGTATCAGGGAACTGGGGAAGAATGTGGGTTTGGTTTATATTAGAAAGCCTTGAATAGGAGAAAAGATAGTTGTCTTACTTTACTTCCTAACTTATCCAAGGATATAAATTAGGGGTTTGAGCCTGAGAAGCAAACTGTTCCCTTGGATATATATATATATATATAATGCATAATACCACTCAGAATTGCTAATTATGGTCAAAAATGCATTTAAGTGAATTTCAAAGTCAAAGAGAAGTTAGCTAAAACTACCATTTTCTTCTGAAAAGAGAAAACAATTTATTACTTTGTGACAAACACAAGTTATGTTTAATTCTGAGGGCCATTCTGCCAAAAACAACAGATAAATAATTTAATAAACTGTATCCAATGACAATTATTTCATGGTTGTGAGTTTCTCAAGTTCAGGCATGTGAAATAATGAAAAGAGCCATGGAACAGGAACTAGGACACATGGGTCCTAATTCCAGATGAGTCACTAATTTGATGCATGTACTAAACATTCTCATTTTTTAAACATGAAGCACAAATAGGTGGCTTTGAAGGTCTCCTCTAGAACTAAGCTGCTAAATTTCAATACGGTTTCTTTTTATATTGCTTCACACTTAAGACTAGGAGATATGAATAACGGGTTTAAAAAGGTGTGTCCCATGGTGAGGATACTAAGGGTTTAGATGCCCTTCCAAATGTCCCCTTTCTCAGGGAGTCCTAGGTTGGAACATCCTCTGGGTTTCTAACTAGGTGCTCTGTGGGGGCTTAATAGCTATTATCTTCAGCCTTCAAAGAAACTTAGAAAAGCAGTTATTTTTCTCATGTGGTAACTGTAAGTCATAGAGAATAAGGCTAGTTTGCTAAGACTAGCCTGCCTGAGGATGTGAAATGAGGTCTGACTGACTCCAAAACTGTCGTTTTAGATGAGGGACAAGTGCACCTTGTCCTTCAACTATATCATACATCACACAGGCACCATTTATTTCTGTCTGCAGCAATGATGAATATCAAATGGTTCTAAAGATTTGTTAAAACAATATATATTCTATTTATGTATTTCTACTATTTTGAACTGCAAATATAAAGTAAATTGTACTGTAATGTAGATAAAATTTAGGAAGTTAATTTTAAAGCTATCAAATGTAAATTATTTTCTCTTACTTTTCATGGTAGAGAAATACATAAATGGTTCCTCCAGCTGCCATGAGCCAGATAAACCAACGCATATGAGATGCCAGGGGTCCAAGTTCACGGAGATTTAACCTAAAAATGTAAACAAGACAACAAAGAACAGAAGTGATAAATGAAGGGAATTCATACAACCTGTGTTTTCCTCTACTCTTGAAAATTGGGAAAGAAGGTACCAGGACAAGACCAGAAAGAAAAAGCAGTCATCATGCGGTTGGAAGTATTTGGGCAATTGGGATAAAATTAATAACTCAAGGATAAAATTGTCATTCAAGCTTTAAGACTTAGAATTAGCTCCAATGTGGTTTAAAAATAGAACCAGCTAAAAGGAGACATGTAGAAGTAAGTCCCAGCACATCTGTGATGCCCGACTTTCCTTATTAGGCAGACTGCTGTAAAGGCTACTTGCCTTATTGTTCCTGACTACGTATTTGGGAGCAGATTGTTTACAAAGCTTACTGAGAACGCAACAAAACCCTGAACCAGATCACATACACACAGTGGATACCTAATACACAGACCAAGTGTCTCCATTGTCAATTTCTCCACCAAGAGAGAACATACACACAGTGGATACCTAATACACAGACCAAGTGTCTCCATTATCAATTTCTCCACCAAGAGAGAACATACATGTTATGGAAGATATTCTGTAGGTTAGAATTTAACCATGGACTCTTGTGAGGCCTGAATTTAAAATGCTGCAAATTCATCTGTACTAAATTCAGATTAAGAATAGATATGAAAATAAAATGTTCTGAATGGCTATTCCTACAAAATTAATATTTCCAAATGGAAAAGGTTCCACCTGCATATCGAAGACTACATGCGAACAAACTGCCTACTGTAATATTTGATTCCTCAGTCTACATTTAAAATTTTTATTTACTTATTTTAAATTGAGGTATACTTCACAAAAGCCTTTAAGTATTCTCGTTCCAGTATGATTCAGACCTATAATTTAGTAACAGTTACTGGGGAGAGACAGCACTTACTTTTTACTCCAACAGATAATTAGGTTTCTTTTGAATGATGGATGCTGCATTAGTCAGAATCTAGAGGCCTGCTGTTTCTAATGATATATAGTTGATGGTATAATATGAATTTCTGAGTGGTTAAAACTGGACCATATCTTGATAGAGGAAAATCAATGTTTCTTTAATTATGGGTTACAGAGCAGCAAAAGACTCTATCTGATCTATACCAAAAAGGCAGGAAGAACAAGGACATTGAACTGAATACTAGGTATTTTAAATAGCTAACTAATTAGGCTAGTTCTCTTATTCATATAGCTAAAGAAATGAGAAATGCACTCAATACATAGTAGCTACTGTGCTGTGAAGACCAACAGTATAAATTTCAAAAGTGACCTTGTTTTCTTTGTACGTATTTACAGTATTTCCACTTCAACAGTTAGGTGTCCAGGTATTCTGAGCAGCAGCAGAAGCATATAGAAAGAATATGGAAGGCAAAGGTAACATATTTCAAAGGTGAGCGTGCAGCCTACACACAACTTAGCACTTCTCTCAAACAATCCAGTGCCAGATATGTATTCTGAATGGCAGTAACATTCTCCCCTTAAAATCTGCAATCTGACCCAAGTAAATTAAAATGGGAAAGAAAAAAAAGCATGTATGTGTGTTGGGATGGGGGAACCGGGGAGCAGGGATAGGAAGAAGGGAGGGAAGGAGGACTGAGAATTCTCTCATAAAAACACTATCTTCAAAAATATAAAGACTGTATCTTACCATGGGGCGTAAGATGCAGCAATGAAGACATAGATAACCATTCTATCACACATGTGAAAGCAATGCTCCACTGTCCTGTGGAGGGGGGGGGAACAAGTTAGTTTTCAGAAAATTTTACAACTGGAAGTAGGGTTTATCACTCCACTACGTCACAACTGCCACTCTTGTTCTTGGTTCTCATGGCATTTATAACTTGGCCTTCAAAGTTGCACAGCTATTTTTAATAATATGAAGCCACAAGTAAAACCTTTATATTATTTTTAAGATTGCATATACCATAGATCCTCTCCATGTAAGAACCTCACAATAATCAGGAACTCAAAATCTGTCTTTTCTGATATTTTCTATTTTTTTTTTAGATCCTATCTAATAGGAAAATGAAATTCCTTGAGGGCAGACCACCTCTCAACCCATATCATAGTGCAGGGCACAAAATCATGAAGGCTCAGTAAATACTCCCCAAAGCCACATTCTTTTTAGAATGTCTTAGAAGCAGCTTTTACTCCAAATCTTAGTGTCGACAGTAAGCTGCAATAAAGCAAATTTAGAAACTAATTTAGGAACAGCAATAACACAAACCAGAAAAAAAAAAAAAGGCTCATTTGCTGTCAAGAGGGTAGCCACCTGGGCTGCTTCTTCTTTTTTTGTTTTAACAAACATTTATTTTTGGCTGCATTGGGTCTTTGTTGCTGCACGCAGACTTTCTCTAGTTGCAGTGAGCGGGGGCTACTCTTCGTTGTGGTGCACAGGCTTCTCACTGCAGTGGCTTTTCGTTGCGGAGCACGGGCTCTAGGTGCACAAGCCTTAGTAGTTGTGGCTCACGGGCTCTAGAGCCCAGGCTCAGTAGTTGTGGCGCATGGGCTTGGTTGCTCCGTGGCATGTGGGATCTTCCCGGACCAGGGATCGAACCCATGTCCCCTGCATTGGCAGGCGGATTCTTAACCACTGTGCCAATGGGGAAGCCCCACAACCTGGGCTTCTAACCAAGTTTTTCCTTCTAAAACTGAAGAGTCAGGAAGTATACAAAGATTTGGCTCATTGAGGTCTATTCACAAAACGGATTAGATAGAATCCGCCCTTTACTGAGGTTATTTATTTATTTATAAATTTTTGGCCACACTGTACAGCGTGCAGGATCTTAGCTCCCTGACCAGGGATCAAACCTGCGCCCCCTGCAGTGGAAGCGCAGAGTGTTAATCACTGGACTGCTAGGGAAGTTCCTGAGGTAATTTAAAAGTACAAATGCATTGCATTGTCTTGAATCCATTTTCAGTCCAAGGGGTAGTAGCTGTGGTTTGGTGGCCCACAAGTATTAGATTTTGCCTCATCACACACTCTGTGTCGACCAAAGCAGGCTGAGGATGTTTTAGTCACTGTTAGTGCTAGTCACATGTTAGTGAAGTGAAAATAATTTAGGTGTAAAAAAGCAAACACTAGATTAATGTTTCTCAAACTTGACTGCCTTGCAGAATCGCCTGGGGAGCTTATAAATTACAGTCGCAAACTCCAGTCCAGAAGATCCTGATTTAAAAGGGCTAGAAGATGTGGTAGATGAAGCAGGGAAGAGAAGAATAACTCCTTGGATGACTGTGATTCCAAGCCAGGTCTGGGGTCTTTCTAATTCTGCTTTCTAGACTGTTATGCACTGTTGCAGCAGGTAAAGTCAAGCGAGCAGTTTTATTCAAGACCCACCACCCATCTCTGACCCTCACTCTCCTCAAGGGTGAAGCAGAAGTAATATCATCTCTATCACAGAGTGCGTGTGAACATTAAATGAGATGATGTAGCCATGCATTTAGCACAGCACCTAGCACATAGTAGGTACTCAATAAATGCGTGTTCCCTTCCCTCTTTTACTTAAATTAAGGCTATACTTGGGATATTTTAAAGAATTAATGCAGAGCAAAAGTCCACATGTGGCTTACGATTCTAGCAGTGCTATTTTAAGGTTCAAGAGATACTGATTTCTATTACACCTTCTCAGGCTCTGGCAGGGAGGCCCTGAATAACGAAGCAGACACCTACAACTCTTTGATTCAGATATCTAGATAGCAAAGCCAAGTCAGCCAAGGCAACCACAAGCACTGGATCGTGCCAAGAAGATAATGAAGTACGCCTGCTTCTGGGCTCTGCAAGAGTGCACCCTGAAGAGCCAGGACAAGTACTTTTGAGGCTTGCTTTTGAGTGTGTACCAGAGCTTCCTCGTGATTCAATGCTGTGGTTTTATGTTAAGCCCTGGGAACTGTCAGCTTATAGGCAAAGGTAGCAGACTGCCAACTAGAAGCAATATTGTAAAGGGTGCAGTGTAAATAAACCTCAGAACTGGGAGTCAGAGATCCTGGGATGATGATCAGATTCTGCTGGAATCACTGAGTCTCAGTTTCCCCAGGAGAATATTATGGGGTTTGGATCAGATGTTCCTTAAGGATCCTTCCAGCTCTTAAAAGTCTGATTTTACATATGAGGAAACTAGTAATCATCATATGAATCCCAAATCCTGCTCTTAAATAAAGCATACCTTTTTAATATTAGATTGTTTGAATAACGAGATTTTTTTGAACATTCTATCTATAAAACCAAAAGTTACCTTGTTTTTTAATTTTATTTATTTATTTTTTGTCTGTGTTGGGTCTTCGTTGCTGCGCACAGGCTTTTCTCTAGTTGCGGCGAGCAGGGGCTACTCTTCGTTGTGGTGCGTGGGCTTCTCAGCGTGGTGGCTTCTCTTGTTGCGCAGCACGGGCTCTAGGTGCATGGGCTTCAGTAGTTGTGGCTCACGGGCTCTAGAGCACAGGCTCAGTAGTTGTGGTGCACGGGCTTAGTTGCTCTGCGGCATGTGGGATCTTCCTGGACCAGGGCTCGAACCCGTGTGCCTTGCATTGGCAGGCAGGATTCTTAACCACTGCGCCACCAGGGAAGCCCCCAAAATTTATCTTCTAATATTACATTAAATCACTCTAAGTCTGTTCTGAGTCCTCCTTTTTGAGAAGAAACTTTGTCCTTTTGGGTTGTGCAGAATCCATTGCATAAGCAACTAGATGGTGTGCTGCTACCTTTGTATCGCCCAAATTAACCCTTCACTCAAAGGATGAATGCTTTTATGTCCTCATTGGGAGGCTAGGGATCACAATATTGTTTGGAAAGTGCTTGACAGCTAACTGTAGCAACATATGTGAGTTTTGTTTGAGTAGATGCACGGGACCTAATTCTGAAAGCTGAACTTTGCAAAACAGTAAACCCGAGCTGTAATATACCTGTAGTACAGCTATAGTGATTTGTAATTTTCAAATCATTCTCACATGCATCATCTCATTCACCTATCACAAGAGCCCACCAGTCGGGCATTACCATTCTCATTTTAGTGATGAAGAAACTGAGGCTACACGAGACTAAGTGGCAGGACTTGGACTCAAAGCCCAACTGGTGACTGCAAGTCCAGAGTACTGGTCATCACCCTGCAGCTGCCATGTTCGTCCTTAGTGTGCTGACACACTGGAAAACAGGTGTCAGGATTGTACATTGTAAGTCCTGGGGAAGCAATGTGGTTTTGTTCGGTTTCCAAGCAAAGACCTGCTTTCTTAAGACACAGATAGGGGTGCTCAAATTCTGTCCAATCCATAGGAAATTTCCTGAGTGCTGGGACAGCATTAGACTCTACCAGGCAGGAAAATGTCCACTCTTTGCCTCACCTGACCAAAGCAGGCCAGCGTGAGAGGCTAACCCAAGCCAACTATTGTGAGTGACCTGTTGAAACAGCGTACCATCCACTGTACCTTAAGTGGCTCTTTTTCCATGATACGATGTGAAATACTGTGGAAACAATGAAGAGGGCACAGAGGCCCATTCCATAAATCCATGCTGTTATCTTTTCCCAGCAGTCATCAGACAGCCGGTGGAGGAGGGCACTGCCCACAATGGCTGGAACAATGAGGAACTGAGAGAAAGGGAAAGAAAAGTAAATATTCAGCAAAACACTGAATTGAGAACTTTATTAAAAATACATAGGTTTACCAGGGGCAATTTTAGGAAGATCACTTTAAAACAAACATTTGCCTTTCCTGGATAATCATAATGAGAGCCAGATGAAGTTGGCTGTTTACGGCACTGAAAACAAGTACTGCTGTTTAGGGCCCAGGACCTGTGTCCACCAATGCGTACACAGTCAAGCAGTAAGAATGAAACATTACTCAATTGTTGCAAAACAAATGTCCTCTATCCTAATTTCGTTAGTTAAGAACATGTTTCATCCTATTCTCTAATGTGATTTAGGGTAGGCACTTAAAATATTCAAATGGCAAGCATGTACCCAGATTTCCCAGGGAGGTCTTGATCTTTAAATATTCTTTCCTGTTTCCCCCATGCGCTACTGAAATCCCAATATTTCAGCAAAGGGTAACTAAATGAATCAAGTCAGTAACTATCATGTACATACCACACTCAAATAAATCATTTGTTCAAATCATATGTCCTGACTTCTAGTTTGGATGTCTACATTCCACCAATTTCCGAGCTACTGCAGAGTGAAAGTGTTATTTCATTTTTAATAGCACCTTTCATGTAGGCAAGAGTAATACACTCCTACTTATTCAAATAATTTTAAGAGACTAGAATCTTAGAGAGAACTTTGCTTTCTGCACCACATTTTACACTACATATAGACACAAATTTAAATGTTTAGTCATATCAGTGTGACTAGTAAACATTTAATAATAACAGGAATCATGAGAAGAAATAAACTACTTTATTAGATAGAGGAATAAACATACCTGGCAAAGACTGCAAACTTTAGCAATCTTATCTTTTTTGTCTCCAACACCTTCTATTTCCCTCTTGAAACAGAATATTAAACCTCCCAGATGAGATCAGCACTGAATTTCAAATGCTGAAGTATTCAATGGCCCAGAACAAAAAGAAAATTAAGGACAACAAAGTTTTTCATAAAACAATTTAATTTTGAGATTATGTCCTTTCTACTTCTTTCATGTTAAAGTATCTTCTCTTTAATGAAATGATGACATTAGATGGAAGTTTCTTGTTTTGTCAGTTTTAGAAATTTTACTGCCCTCTGAAATCCAAAAATCAGGGATACAGTTTAGTAAGTTTAATAAGATGACATTTTCTGTTCTAAAAAATTAATGTGGATGTTTTGTCAGTTTTTCCTTAACTTTGGTTTCTACAAGTGTTCCTTGTGACAATACAGAAGAGATAAACTAAGGGATTATTCGGGTCTATCTCAAGCAAATATTCTTCTTAAAGGTGAGCTGTGCATCTCAACAGCCAAACCATTATATTTAAATGCTCAACATTATGCTAAGTAATAAGCGTTTCATTGGTTGCTTTATTTATTTATTTTTATTTTAAATTATTTATTTATTTATTTATTTTGGCTGCGCTGGGTCTTCACTGCAGTGTGAAGGCCTTAGTTGTGGTATATGGGATCTTAGTTCCCCGACCAGGGATTGAACCTGGGCCCCCTGCCTTGGGAGTGTGGAGTCTTAACCAATGGACCACCAGGGAAGTCCCTCATTGGTTGCTTTTATTGGTCAGTATTATGAAAACTATCAGAGCACTATTTTCATAACTTTTATCAGTGTTTTGCAGTTGGTAAAGACATATCCATAAAATGGTGGATGTACATTGGAACAATAAGTGAAGGAACAGGACATATAAACTGTTATTCAAACTTTTATATTCTTTATATCCTAATGCTGACCTACATTTAAATACACACACCCCTACATTTTCTTAGGGGCCTGTGGACAATTAACTTCAGAAGTAACTTTAATCTCTGTTAAATTCATCAGACATTTAGTTAAGAATAAAAGATGGAAACAAACCAAATGCCCATCAACAGATGAATGGATATATATATTACACACACACACACACACACACACACACACACACAAAATGGACTATTACTCAGCCTAAAAAAGCATGAAATATTGACAATTTGCAGCAACGTGGATAGACCTAGAGATTATAATACTAAGTGAAGTAAGTCAGAGAAAGACAAATACGTGATATCACTTCTACGTGAAATCTAAAAAATAATATAAAGAAGCTATATACAAAACAGAAACAGACACAGATATAGAAACTTATGGTTCCCAAAGGGGAAAGGGAGTGGGGGATAAATTAGCAGTATGGGATTAACAAATACACACTACTATATATAAAATAGATAAGCAGCAAGGACTCACTGTATAGCACAGGGAATTATATTCAATATTTTGTAATAACCTATAATGGAAAACAATCTGAAAAATATGTGTGTGTGTGTGTGTGTGTATATATATATATATATATATATATAAAACTGAATCACTTTGCTGTACACCTAAAACTGACATAATATTGTAAATATTATATTTATACTTCAATTTAAAAAAAAAGAATAAAAGATGGATATCCAGGCAAGTATAGCTGACAATCAAATTAGGCTGTGCATTCTTTAAAACCAAGTTTGGACTCTAAACATTTTGACCCTCTGGTGGTGTGAAGCTCACTTCACAAAGCGTTCACTAATGCAAAGACAGGGGTCAGCTCAAGGCTAGAGAATTCCACTAAATCCTTCCTGCCCTGAGAATCCAAACCATGGGTCTAGGGAGACTGTCCACTAGTGAGGTTACTCCAAATTTCATTATTGAAGCCCTTTTATGGAATCCAGGGCAGGCATGTCAGGTACAAACTTTCTTTTAAAGAAAAAACATTTAGTAAGATTTCAGCATATTAATTATTTAAATAAAAATCTTTTGAGCACCTAAAGAAAAAGGACAGTGATGAGAATAACGTTTCAGTATTACCAAGTAATATTTGAATTCCACTATTACAATATATAAAACTGATACTTTATAAAGTTTGATTTCTGCTAAGTAATGACTAAAAATCATTGTTCTATTAGATTACAAAGAAATCCACCAAAAACTAGCTTATTTCAGGTTTATTTGGTATCATGACTCCTTTATAGAAATACTGACTATTCTTTGAAGAAGGGTTCAAGAAATGAAAAGGCACAACTTGAATTCAAGCAAGTTTTATTCTAATAACATATGTATATAACCTACACATTGTACTAACACTGTCTAAAATAATTAAATTAGCCTGTTCTAACACTTCACTAAAGGAATAAATTGGTCTCCTTCTCTATTTCTTGTCTTCAGACTATATACCAGCTACCACTTTCCCCTCAAAAGTCTCACTAAATACAACTTTCAAAGGGAATAATGAAATCATAGATAAAAGGAAATTTATATGACATAAGAAAATGCCAATAAAATGAAATTAATAGGAAAACTATGAAAATACACACATATTTACAAACACCATAGACAAAAAGAAGAAATGCATCCAAGTGCTAGCAATTTATTTCTAGGTAGTTCTGTTTTTCTCATATATTCTTCAGTATTTTCTATGTTTCTTATAATGAATATGTTTTGTTTTTATAAGGAAGAAAAAAATTAAGAATTTAGGGATTAAATCGAACTTTTCTTCTACAATATGGACTAACATCTGCTCTGAGAAGCAATGACCACAGTGGAGATGGAGAGGATGTGGCTACCTGTTTTAGGTGATCACTCAGGGGAAAAAAACACCTTTTTCAACAAATGGTGAATTCTTCTTGCCAATAAACACAGCTGACTGTCTTGAAAAGGTGATTCATTTCATTCCAGGGGTGACAGTCTTCATAGTTTTCTTTTTTTTTTTATAACTAAGGTACTTACTATTATTATTCTTTCAAAGACGATCTTGTCTGAGAAAGCAAGTCCAGGATAGACAGAGCTGACTGTAGTTGGAGCACTCAAAGTGTCTGACATGCTCACAGTTTCTGGTGACATGACCTAGCACTGACACTTTGGCAGGTAAGGTCACAGAGATGGGTACACCTGACTAACAAGGCTGAGGTTAACAGAGATGATTGCCCCTTCCTCCCACCAAAGTCCTTTGGGAAGGATGGAAAAGGCAGAAAACTCATACTCACTGCATGTGTGTAACAGTTAGCAGCATGTTCATAACAAGTTGGTTTGTAGCGGCCATTGGCTGGGGCCCGGTGGTTCATGAACCTATAGAGACAAAGACATCACGTGAGAAAAGCTCAGAGCGTGTAAAGAACAATGGTGAAGCTTGTCAGTGGTTGTTTGGTCTATTCTAACTGAAGAGGTGACTGCTGGAAATACCTAGCTACGGGATCAAAATCAAAGCCACTAAACAGGTGTAAACTGAGCCAACAGCCATAATCCTAAATCAAATGCCCTAGTTTACTGGATTAAGTATTCTTTCAGTTCATTTAGAAGAAAAACTTTCTACCTACCAAAAACAAACAAAAACCATATCCACAACTGGTACCCCCACAGTAAAAAAAAATTAAAAATAAAAAAATAGTACAACCAAATCTTAAATCTTAACAGAAAAAAAAAAAAAATCAAGGTCATTTTTCTAAAGTTAAGAAATACCAGAAACCACCATTTAATGCAAATTCAGTGTATTTGAAAGGTTTCTATTTCTTCTCTCAAAATGTATAAAGCTTATACATGTAGATCTTTAAAGCCTCCATCCCATGATTGGCAGGCCTTTGAACTAGTTTCCGTCTATTGCATTACTTGTTCTGGCACCAGACAGCTTAAATAAATGATACCTGGCTGCCTCCTGGCACCTGAAACAAGAGGTAAGTTTTCACCTGCATTCTTCCTGAATTAAAAGTTTCCTTCAAAATCTAAATATGTGACTAGCACCACATACACTGGCTATAAAATTCATAAACACATCTGTATGTATCTAAATATCAAAATCAGTTACACATATAGACATACGCCCATATTCCATATCCCCTTTGGGCTAATTTTGTGGCAACCAGCAAAGCAGTGAAAAGCACAAATACCATCGGACATGAAGAGATAAACAGCCTTCTTCTATTTCAGTGTGTGGGTGAGGATTCCCCCAGCCCCAATTCATACCCATGCCATGTTTCATGAGGGATTCTGGTTTAGTCTGTGTGTTCTTTTTTTTTTTTTCTGGCGCGGTACGCGGACCTCTCACTGTTGTGGCCTCTCCCGTTGTGGAGCACAGGCTCCAGACGCGCAGGCTCAGCGGCCATGGCTCACGGGCCCAGCCGCTCCGCGGCATGTGGGATCTTCCCGGATCGGGGCACGAACCTGTGTCCCCTGCATCGGCAGGCGGACTCTCAAGCACTGCGCCACCAGGGAAGCCCTAGTCTGTGTGTTCTTTATAAGGAGGGAGATGTAAACTCAGAAAGATAAAAAGGCAGCTGCCTGAAAGAAGCAGATGCAGAGAAATAATGGAGGTAAGACAGCCATGATGGCATTCAGGTCTCAGCATTCAAGCAGCATTCCTGTGCTTGGGGCATGCAAGATGTCAACAGGCTTTGCACAATAAAGTAGCTTTTTGCTTGAGCTAGGTTAAGGGGGTAGGGGGAGGAGATTCCGTCACTAGTCACTAGTCACACCTCATTAATTAACATGATGAAAAAATGGTACCAGGCTAAACCAAACGGCACAGCCAGGTTGCCAAAAACTGACTAAAACACATGGTCAAGGGATTCCAAACAGTGCCCACTTTAAGAACAAAAGACTAGCCAATACTTTCCCCCTGAATTAAGAAGGGCCTGTTATCCCTAGAGCACATAAATAAAGTGGCAGTCCCTGCTAACCCAACATAGAGAGTTCAAGTGGCAGATCCACTAGGAAATGGATTTGGGACCTTGAAGATACCTTACTTGGACCACCAATGGGTAGCTATCTAACTAGCGTGCAAAATATACACATATGGAATGGAATTCACCAGATGGCTTGGAAACTGTTTAAGAGAAATGTGCAGTTAACAGCTTCAGAATTATTCCAAGCTATTCTCACACATAGATAAATAAATCTTTTTTCCCCTGACAATCCTTTAAATAATTTTACTAAATTTCCTAAGGAATGAGAGTGTTGCTATATGGCAGTTATTAGTAAAAAGGAAAATAATTACACTCTTGGGAAGGATACTTTAAAAGTGTCCCTAGCATTCAAGGATCTACCAAATCATTAGCCTGAGACATAATGACAGGGCTATAAGTAGCATATCCTATTAGGAATTGTAAAGGGTAAAGAGCAAGGCTCCGGGATGGTTGAAGGTAGATTAAACTGTGAGCACTCTGTGCAGGGCACAGTAGGTAGGGTCTGACTACCCACCACCAGGGCTGCAAACTAAAATAGCAATTTATATCTCTGGCAGCCCAATCTAAAAATAGTCAGGCTATTACACAGTGACAGGGATAGACTTTCAAATTTTCTCCTAAAAGCAGAGAAACTCGGTGGCCATGTTTGTGACAGCTTAGTTCCTGCCCACCTGGAATCACTCAGGTTAAAAATAAACTCAGAAGTTGCAGAGAAAAATATCCCACCCATGTGACTTAAGGTAGTTTCTCCTTAAGGGCAGGGCCAAGATTCCGGCATTACAGAAAGGGAAGAGCAAGTATTCCAGGCACAGATCACTGCCTGGGGCCCCATGGGACAGCACATGGTTCTGCCGGGAAATTTACAATGCATTTTTCCATTTCTCTCTGATCTGCCAGGGTACAATCAAGCCTCCAACAAGGCCTCCTGCAGAAATCACTATGAAGAAATTAGTCACCCAAGACCTAAATGGAAAAGCAGATGTAAAATGCAAATAAACTCCCACACACTGAGCCTATTCTCTTCCCCCAAAAAAGAATGAGGAAGGTTATCAAGAGTTATGGGGAAGAGCACCCACTTATGGAAGACACCTCTACTTAAAGCAAAGCCATCCTAATGGTTATCCAGCAGAAGACAGCATCCAGCCAGCTTCAGAGGGTTTGAGGGAAGGTGATTAAAGTTTTTAGTTGACCAGGGTTTGTTCATTCATCCCCTCATTTTCTCTTTCAACACTCTCTCCACTTCCCCTGGCCCAGTGTCCTCACGCCCTCTCCGTGATAGAATTTCAAAACTATGGAGAGAGGGACCTGGGGACACTCCTTAGCACACTTTATATTTAACCCAAAGCAGTGGCCTTCCGAAGGTAAATCTGCAACCCACCAGCAGATCTCAGAGGCCTAAGATCAAATCTCAGAAGTTGTCCTTGATTCCTCTGTGTTCCCCATACTCCACATGCAAGCACCATCAATGTTACCTTCTAAATATATTCCAAATCAGTTCCGCTCTCTACAGTTCCAAAGACCCTACCTTAAATCAAGACATCAACACCTCTGGTCTGTAAACATACAAAGTCTCTGGTCTCCCTGCCTGCCCACACATGGACTCTCTTCTTTACTCAGCAGCCACAAGTCTATCAGCACCAGATCACATCAAACACTAAGCACAGCTTAAAATCTGTCTGGCTTCCCAAAGTGCCTGGGATAACACTGCATCCTCCGCAGGCCACAAGCCCTCACCCACTTCTCCAGCCTGGTGCTACCTTCCTCTCACTCTCTGCCTCCAACCAACCGCATCCTTTCTGATCCTCAAACCACCCAGGTCTTATCTGCCTCAGGGTGTCTGTGTTTGCTGTTTACTTCTAACTAGAACATTCTTCTCCAGAATGCCCAGCTCTCCTCTCACCGGTCAAGCTCAGCTCAAATGTAACCTCCTTAGAGAGGTTTCCCTGACCATCCTACCTAAAGTATCACTTCAGCCCTCCTCACTCCACCAGAGCCCTTACCACAATTAGTAAGAATTGGACTTTTTGAACTTGTTTATTTTTTATTTCATTTTCTCCCACTGCAATGTGAATTCCATGGAGGCCATCTTGTCCACCATTTCATTTCCAGTTCCAAACACAAGGCCCAGCTTATTGCTGGAGCTTAATAGATAAGTGCTGAATGAATGAATAGAAAGGCAGACATTCTGCCTGCTGCTGAAGTATTTTATCCTACCCGAGAAAGATCCACTCATCAATTAGTTTCACTGGGGATTCTATATGCAACAAAGACAAACAGGCAGTCTTAGGGCAAAGAGAATTCTCAATCTCATGAAAATAAAATTCTCAAAGGCCAATACCATGGACATTCCAAGGGCTCCTTCAACATCACTTGATGGGGCAACATAAGCTGACCCCTGAGCACCTTACTAATTAGCTTCCCTATATGAATAAGCATGATGTTTAGGAAAAGTGTCTGCTGCCAGAGGTAGTGATAGTGGTGGGATACATTTAACTTAAATAAGGGAAATGGCATATATAAGGAGACTACCCCATCCCTATGATTCAATGCTCTGAGAACACGCCAAAAAACAAACAAACAAAAAAAGGCAATAGGCAGTCCTGGAAGACTTCTAATGCTTTAGAATTATATGCTTTGCCACATATTCAGTTTGAAGCTAACCAGTGGTCATGAGGCTGGGGTTAAGGAACGGAGCATCCTTTTCCTTGGATTTTTGGTTGCCAGGCTGGAGAAACGAGCATGCATCAGTAAGATACCAACAAGATACATTAGAAGCTCTGGGTCCTAGGCCTCTGCGCTGTCATGCAGATGTTGTGATGTGGGCGGGGAGACAGAGGTGAATGGCTTAATGGGTGGTAGAGAGGGACATGATATTGAACCCTTCAGTGTGCCCCTTCCTTGCTGTGTGATGATGGCAAGCTCTCTTATTCTCTAACCCTATTTGTTCTTCTACTAAATGGGTATAAAATTTGCCTCCTAGGGTTACAGTTGAGGATGAGATGAGTAATCTACAAATACCCAGCTACTGCCTGGCACCAGTAGGTACTTAATAAATGTTAGCAGGTATTCTAATCAGTCAGAGATGCTGTGAAAGGGAGAGAATGACTCTGTGTGGAGGGGTGGTGGAATCAAGTGTGGAAGGGATAAAGCACAAAAGATAAAAGGTGTCCCACTGGGGTTTTTCACATCCTAAGCTTTTTGAGAAGCCATGCCTGCATAAAGCCCTCCACTTACTACACTGGGCTAGGCATCCCTACAGCTCTCCTCCACAGATATGTCAGCACTCTGGAAGTTGATCCAAAGCCACAGTGACCGCCAAGTTTCCATTATGAACAATCCAGCAAGGTGTTCAGGTTTTCTTATAATTTAGACATAGCCACAAACTATGGCCTAATGAAGTGTTTTTACTGCAGTCAAATGCTCATCAATGGAGTCCTGGTAAATCTATCAGAAGGAACACATGGGTTCAAAGATAGTGTATTCCTCTTTCTAGTTCCTCTGTCATTAACCTACTTGTATCTCTCCTGAATGCTCAAAAGATGCATAATAAACACAGTTTTTAAGAGATGCAGAACAGTACTCTCAACATGTTAATGTATGGACCACACAAACCATGATATTTTTGTTATATTACTTTTTATTTGCAGGCTTTATTTCTAAGTTCAAATTGACTCAGAAATATCTTTCCATTTTAGCCTATGATACAGAAAAACAAGAAATTATGGGATCATTCATTGTTCAAAGAAAATCGGGGTAGTTCTAGATGTCATCAAGAAAATAACTGTTAAATATCCATTGAGATTGTGCAGCCGCTGAGAAAATTACAATGTCTATGCTGCACTAAAAGAAAATGCCTGTATTTTTTCATTTTTAAATGAATGAAGTAGAGCGCAAAATCACCTTACAACTGTGATAGTAAGGACTGGATAGATTAGTGTCCAGCAAAAAGAAAAGTTCAGGGCTTCCCTGGTGGCACAGTGGTTAAAAATCCACTTGCCAATGCAGGGGACACGGGTTCTAGCCCTGGTCGAGGAAGATCCCACATGCCACAGAGCGACAAAGCCCATGTGCCACAACTACTGAGCCTGTGCTCTAGAGCCCGTGAGCCACAACTACTGAGCTCACGTGCCACAACTACTGAAGCCTAGAGCCCATGCTCTCCAACAAGAGAAGCCACCACAACGAGAAGCCCGTGCACCACAATGAAGAGTAGCCCCCGCTCGCTGCAACTAGAGAAAGCCCACGCGCATCAACGAAGACCCTACGCAGCCAAAAATAAATAAATAAATAAATAAATAAATTTATTTTAAAAAAAAGAGAAAAGTTCCATCAGCTGAAATGGTAGTGTCCTAAATAAGGTTTGTTTGTTTTTCATTTCTCTTAACACTTTTAATGTTTGTGCGACAAACAATAAAACAGGTTCCTTTTCTTTTTCTTCTTTCTAGAGAAGAATTGAAAGGATAGAAAAGAAATACAACACTTAATCTAACAAAACCCAGTAATTTCACAGAATATTGCCACTGTTCTCTGCAAACAGGAAGAGCAGAGATGTGCAGAGAAGACCAAATCAAACAAACCACATGCACAGGGCTTTGCCAACCATTACTGAACCTGTGTTACATCCTCCCTTAAAGCCCCTCCAGTCCTCATGGCTGACTTCATGTTCTCAAGCCAGAACACCATGGTTTCGTTTTGCCTTTAGAAGTACTGATATGATATCCCACTAGGGGAATACTGCAGGCATTCAACACCCTGAGTGATGAGCAATATTCGGAAGTTAATCCAACTCTTCAAACTGATCACCCTTCTGATGGCACAATCCACCACAACTCTCCCTGTGCATATTTCACTCCTTACCCTGTGGGACTGGAGGAGGAATAAGATCAGAATGGGAGAGGGGGCATCAAGGGATTAGGAAGTTGGAAAGAAAAAAAAAAAGTGCACTTTAAAATCCTGAAATAAAAAGCAGTGCCTAAAAACTCAACAATAACCTCCTTGGAAGACTTCATGCATTCTCTGTCTTTTTTCAAATTCCCCCTGTCACTGCACACTAAGCTAGCCTGCTCAGGGTGAAGGTCTGGGAATGGGGACGGCTGCCTGATTCAGACAAAGGGATGGAGAGTTACCACAACACAGGAGAGGTGAACTTTCACCCACTTAAACGAAGGCGATTAGAAAAAAAAGCCCAGAGCTTCCTCTCAGAACTATGACCAGCCTCCATCCATTGCTAGATGGCAGACACCCGGGGTCGGGATTAAGGCCACGGTACCTCCCCAGGCTGGCGTTACCATCGGCTCTCCAGCGAAAAGGCAGCCGGCCAGCCTTCCGGTGGTGCCTCGTCGGTTCCTCCTCCTCGTTTCCTAACACCGGCGCCTCAACAGCAGGTCTCACCACCCGGACGCTAACTTGCCCCTTCGCGGCGCCCCCAAATAGCACGCCCAGGGACTCTAAGTACCCTCAGGGCCCGGACTTGGCCAGGCAAAACTAAACCAGCAGAGCCTGCCTCAGTTTCCCCGTTGCTACGGCCGTTCAAAGACAAAGCACCTAAAACGGCCAGCACCGCCGCTTTACCACAACTCTCGCTGCAGGGCGCAACAACGAATGGGCCCCGGTTCCGCGCGCACCGGGAGCCCTCCAAACTCCCGGTAAGGGTTGGAGGGCAAAGCCGGGGTCGGAAGACTCGGGGGCGGCGCCTGCGGCTGGGGTTCGGGTCCTCAGAGCAAGCAGGAGCCCCGCCTGGATGGGGTGAAGCCGGGTGAGCAATGGGATACCGCGGGAGAAGGGCAGGCTCGTGGTCCGAGGTCTGGGAATCCGAGGTCCGCAGATCGCGAGGGGGACCCGGGACAGGCACGAGATCCTGGTCTTTGGAGGAAGGGGATCACCCAGGGACAGCAGGGAGGGGAATCCCCCGGGAGCCGGTCCCCGGCCGAGGCGCGGGATCCACAGGGGATGGACCCAAGTGAGGAGCCAGGACCCACGCGGGAGGAGGCGGGATCCGGGACCCGGTCCCGGCACGGGCGGCGGGGCGGGGGCGCCATCCCTCTCACCGCTGGAATCGATTCTGGAACCGCATTGATCCTCTGCTCCTCCTCGTGGGCCAGGAGCTCGGTATCGTCAGCGCCGGCGGCCGGGCGCGCGGCCCTCATGGGCTTGGGCTGCTCCGGAGGCCGCCGCGTGCCCGGCGGACCACTCGGCCAGGCAGGGTCGGAGTGGGCCAGGCCGGGGGTCGGGACAGGGCCGGAGGCAGACCAGGCGGCTGGGGGCGGGAGGGAAGCCGCTTAAACGGCCCCAGCGCCTCCCGCCTCCAGCCTCCCGGCTCCTCCACCCACAGTCGCCCGCGCCCCGCCCCGCAGCGGAGCCCGGCTCCACCTCCGTCCGCCCCGCCCGCCTGCGTGCTCCCGCGGCCGTCGGCGCGTCACCGCGCCGGGCGGCCAATCAGCGCCCAGAGCGGAGCAGCGGCAACTCTGCCATTCATCCCGCAGCGCCCGGGCGGAGGGGAGGGGCCTCGCGGCGGAGGGGCGGAGCGCGGGGAGGGGCGGAGAGCTAGAAGGGCGGTTCACTTGTAGAAGGGGTGGAGTTGGAGCGAGAAAATAGAAGAGCCAGAGGACAGAGGAAGAAAAATTGTAAAGGAGGAGGTGAGACACGAATCTTGAAAGAAATTGTAGTGAAAATAGCAGCAAACAAGGACCTCTGTCTGCGTTCTAGTCCTGGCTCTGTGTCATTCATTCCTTCCTCATCATTTCTCCATCCCTCCGTTCATTTATTCCTTCGTCATTTTCAAGGTCAGCTACACCTAGGCTGTTGTGCGAGGTTCTGGGGTAGATTTTTTAAAAAACCTTTCCTTGTCTGTCATATGACAAGCATTGTCTAACTCAGATTCTATGAGAAACTCAAAGGAGGGAGTCCTCCGCAGGGATGCTTGTGTTATATTTTTATTTATTTATTTAATCCAAATCTACTTTATTTAAAGTAGATTTGAATCAGGGTCCTGTGGGAAAAACCTAAACCCAGAGGGCTTGCTGTAAGAGAGGTTCAAAGGATAGTGAATGAATCGCTGATTTTTTTTGGGGGGGTGGTAGGGTTCTTGGGATGAACTAAGCTATGTACAACTTTTAATCATCTTCAAAGTCGTAAATGATAATGTTTGTTTTTATTTTTGTTTTTTTAATTTTATTTTTTTATGGCATTGTCACATCACGTGGCATGTGGGATCCTAGTTCTCCGACCAGGGATCGAACCTTTGCCCCCTGCCGTGGAAGCACGGAGTCCTAACCACTAGATGGCCAGGGAAGTCCCAAATGGCTGATTTCTTTTTTAAAATAATTAATTAATTAATTAATTTTTTGCTCTGTTGGGTCTTCGTTGCTGTGCGCAGGCTTTCTCTAGTTGCGGTGAGCGGGGGCTGCTATTCATTGTGGTGCGTGGGCTTCTCATTGTCGTGGCTTCTTGTTGCAAAGCCCAAGCTCTAGGCACGCAGGCTTCAGTAGTTGTGGCACGTGGGCTCAGTAGTTGTGGCTCACGGGCTCTAGAGCGCAGGCTCAGTAGTTGTGGTGCACGGGCTTAGTTGGTCTGAGGCATGTGGGATCTTCCCGGGCCAGGGCTCGAACCCGTGTCCCTTGCATTGGCAGGTAGATTCTTAACCACTGTGCCACCAGCGAAGCCCTATGGCTGATTTCTTGATTCTTTCCCTTATGACCCCTAGAATGTTGATGTGGCCTGTCCACACCGTCCCCCACACCCTAAACTTCAGACTCTCAAGGGGACATTAGGCAAGCCTGTTAGGAGTGTTTACTTTTCATGCAGTGAGAGCTTTGGAAAGCTGGGAATTCTTTCACCCATAATTCTAGTTTCCTTTCCTTTAACACCTGCCAAGTTGGTGAGCTCTAGAAGGGTGCTTTCCAAGGTTATTTCATTAATTTCCCCAAGAACTCCAGGAGATAAACATTATCTTACTCACTTCACAGATAAGGAGACTAAGAGGTTTAGAAAATTGCCAAAAGCAAAACTAGGGTTTGTACCTAGCTTTGTCTAACATTAAAGACTCAGATCCCTTCCGTGGGCCAGACTGCCTCTCCCTAAGTTTTTATTTATTTATTTATTTTCCCTAAGTTTTAAAGTAGTATATTTCTTTAAATTTTTTTTTCTAAAAGTTAGAAAAATGAGCATGGATTGAAGGTTTACTGAACTGCTCTGTCCAGCCCCTGGGCTCAGTGAATTGGTGGGAGAGGGAAAGGTCACAAAGGAAATAACTAATAAAAATAGGTAAAAAATAATGATATGAAATAGCATAGGAAGGATTAAGAAAACAATGAACCAGCAGATGTCAGGTCACATCCTAGCAATGACTTAGGAACATGCAGAAGACTGCAAGGAGCTAGCAAATTGTGGTGAGGCTAATTAGGTGATGGGATGCAGGAGAGAAGGAAGTCTGGATATGGATTTTGAAAGAGATGATGGGCATGACAACACACAGCCTTTCATACAGTACAACAGCTTGGACAAAGAGGGGATGTGGTCACTATGGGGAAAATTTGTGAATGGCCACCTAGGTTTAGAAACATCAGTGTGAATGGCATTTACCCAAGGGGAAAAAGATGAGTGAGAGAAAAATTAGATCAAATCAGAATAAAATACCTTGACCTACAGTGGTGTCTTCCATAGAAATATTGAAGGAATATAATATGCAGGAGTATTAACTGAAAGTGGCTTGTTTAAACAATATGATCACAAATTTAAATCAACCTCATTTTTGGTGACTCTCCCCCAGAAGTGAAAGCAATTCTCAAAAGATAAAAATAAAAACTATGAAACAGCTTAAGTTTATTTACATAACCCCCTGCCACATTTTTTTTTTTTTTTTTGGTGAGGTGTCCATTTGAATCTTTTTTAGGAGAAATCCTGAGTATGTTTGCAGAAAAAAGGTACTAGATTCGACTTAGAGATTAGCGTTTTGGAGTGGAAGAAAATGGAAAGTTTTTCACATTAGTAGGATGTGACATTTTTGTTTAGCTCAAAAATATACAAGTTCTTCTTTCTGCAGAACTGCAGAAAATTATTTGCATAGCCTCTGCCTAGAAGAAAGGATCTGTGAAGGAGCAGATACCAGCTGCAGAGGAATCTCTTGGGAGAACACCTGCCCTGCTTGTTGAGGGACACAGAGTTCCTGGACTGGATGCTGACCATACTAGGAAGCACCTGGAACCTAGTCCTTCGGCTGCCATCATCCAATCAGAAAGTAGCAGCTCTGCCCCAGACTGTGACTCCAGATGCCCAGGAAGATTGCCTGAACCTCTGATTGCAAGTCTTGTTCTGTGACTGGCTTTCATTATGTTTCTTTACGAATATGACAAAGTAAAGCAATTATTAAAATGTAAATGCTCCCATCCTTTCCCGTTTCCTGAAGAGAGGAATGCTATCTTAGTCTTAGTCCTTAGTGTTTTGCCTACATTCCCTGATTGTCTATGCCCTCGTCCCAAAATGCATATGTTTAAATACTAATGCTCAATGCGATGGTATTGGTGGGGGGGATGCTGAGAGGTGATTAGGTCAACCACCATCCTCATGAATGAGTTTAATGCCCTCATAAAAGAGGCATGAGAGAGCTCGCTGGCCTCTTTCACCATGTGAGGACACAAGAAGTCTGTCTGCAACCCAGAAGAGGACCTTCATCAGAACCTGATCATGCTGGCACTCTGAACTTGGACTTCCAGCCTCCAGAACTGTGAAAAATAAATTTCTGTGGTTGATAAGCCACCCAGCCTTTTTTTGTTTGTTTGTTTTCCAATAGTGGCTCAAGTAGATTAAGACACCTGACCTTCGAGGAGTACCTGTCTCTTTCATGCCCAGTTCCTAGACTTTCATGATGAAAACAATTGGAGAAACCAATGGGAAGAGAGATCCAGGGAGAAAAAAGAGGCCTTGGCAGATAGGCTGTTTTGGTTTACATGATGAAGATGAGTGAGAAAAAAACATTCCATAATCTGGGGCATATTGACCTTTTTTGACCCTCGTGCCTTCAATCAACTAAAGCTTGGACTCTGTTGACCTAAGCTCCAGTTCTATTCTGAATTCCCCTCTGCTTAAGCCATGAATATAAATGTATATGCATGTACCCTTAGCTTAAAACTCCCCCAATTTTGCTGTTAGGGGAGACATTGCTTTGGGAGAGATCCCTGGTGTTCTCCTTACCTGTTGCAAGTAATAAATCCTTCCTTCTCCTGCTCTTTGGCTTGGTTGTGTCTTTTGGCTTTACACCCACCAAGAGGGTGAACCCAGTTTTCCAGTAACAAATTTTGGCCCAGATGGGATATCTCGCCTAACCCCTTTGGATTCCTCCAGCTCCCAATGGGCTATGCAGTGGGCTGTGGCAGCTCACCCAGGTGAATTTATCTATGTTGCTGGGGGACCTGTGGGGAAGGGCATAGGAGAATCCCTCTTGGCACCTGAGGTGCACAAGTCTGTGCACCTCAACTCACTGAACAGGCTCAGTGGCCACTCTGGACATCTTGATTTAAGGAGTCCCTTTGGAGAGGTGAGTGACATTTATCCCACAAATTGGCTTCAGGGCTCTGTCCCCATCTCAAGGGGGAAGAAGGATGCCTGACTGAAAGCCTTCAGTGAGACAATCTGTGTCTCTCCTGGTACTGGCCCTTGCTAGGGGGTCCTGGTAACTTGAATTATTTCTAGAGGGGTGCCAGTTTGGTATAGCTGAACAACCTGCATATATACTTTTAAACTACTGATTAGAAGAAATTATTACTAACTCTCTAGAGAGGAAAATTTTCAGTGGGCTAAGAATGGCTGAATCTGTGTCTCCATCAACCCTTATTATAGACCTCTTGGTAGTTGAAGACAAATCCTTAACCAAGATCTGAGGATACGGGGAAACAGATATTTGTTCCCTCAGACAGCCAATTAGCATGCATTCTGAGTCATCAGAAACTCTGTAGCTATACCCCAATGACAAAAAACAACTTATTTTCTTTTGTAATACTGTCTGGCCACAATATCAACTAGGCAACTAGGAGAAATAGCCAGAGAGTGGTTCATTAAATTATAACACCATCTTTCAACTTGAACTGTTTTATAAAAGGAAAGGATAAAAACCCCTCCACCTTTTTGGAGAAGATTAGAGAATGACTTAGGCAACACCCCACCCTGGACTCTGAGGCATCCAAGAAGTGCAGTAGTAATAAACACCTAGTTCATATCTTAGAGTGTTCCAGATATTTGCTGCAAAGTTCAAAATATTGCAGTGGGACCTAACACCCCCACCTCCCAACTAGTTGAAGTGGCCTTTAGAGTTTTCAGTAACTGGAACATGGTGAAAGAAGAAAATGAAGACAAAA